CCAGCTACTCCCTGTAACAACCTCTTGAGGATCTCCTTACGAATAAAAACACCCAGTCACACACTTATCGTGAAGTCTTATAGCTCCAGATGGAGAAAGAAGCTGCATTCGCCCAGGCACGCACGCTCTAGTCGCTCTTACTTGGCTGTTGACCATGAGCACTCCACGGAGCTGTGTCTTCTTCCAGGACTGCTGATAGAGAGGACACTAGGACCCTACATACTCGTGAGGTAGAACAAGAGCATAGAGGGCAGAGAGTGTCTTTGTCCTCTGTAAAATGTTGTGTTTGCCTCCTGAGATAAAGGCTAAACTGCAGAGGAGAATCCTCAGCAAGGGGTACCAAAGCTGGTGCCTCTGGTAGTGCTGATATCCCCAGGGAACAGACATGGGTGACCCTCAGCCCTGAGCCAGAGAGTCTTGAATTATAGTTCAGGAGTGGTGGGATCTAAAACTGGCTCATGCTGTAGAGTCTGTGAATGTACTGTGGGTACCACCCTCCTTGACTTCTTGGGTATGAGCTCTGCTCCACAAAGAACATGACAGAAAGCAAATATTGAGGAATATAGGGATGGCTGAAAATTAAGCAGACACATTACTGTGCTGAACTTTATAATCAAGGGCAGGTTGTCGGTTGCTTTTGGAGCTGAGATTTGGAGCTGGGTTTATGGGTTCTTTTAGGAACCTCTTGTTCTCTTAGATGATGTGAATCTTCATGTCTGAGCACTGGAGCACAAGCTGTTTCAAGCAGGTCATTCAGTTCTCCCTGCTTTGTCTTGATGCAGGTGTTCTGGCCGCTGGAGCCATTTTTGAGCTTTCTTGCAGCAGTAGCTGCCATCAACTCAAAGCGAAGATAAAACCACATTGCTAAAAAGGTCTGAAATGTTTGCAAAAAAGGTGTGGAGCATGCACAGAACTGTATCATAGTTTGAACCGTGTGCTTGTGTGCTTGTTTTCCTGCCACATCAATAAGTAGGACTGGGCCTATGTTGGTACTTGGTGACACCTCCTCTGAAGAAACCCCCTTGGTGTTGATGATTTGATAGGTTTTAGTCTGTTCTCAGAGGATGCTGGGCCTGGTGGCATTTCATACTTCTCTTAAAAAAAAAAAAAAAAAAAAAAAGGTGACGAATGGGATGCCATTGGATTTGAAGCGTCTCAGAGGGTTGTTTTACATGGTCCTGTTAGTGATGAAGGAACAGGTTAAGCCCCTTTTTCTCTCTCCATAGAATTAAGGATCTGGGCAGATGTCAACTGTCTCAGAAAAGACTCCAAATTGCTGTTCCAGAGTTGGCCTGATGACTTCTGGTGTCTAGAGCTTCCTCCTGTTTTACCATGCCACATGTCCTGAGAAAAACACCATGGAGTGTTTCTTCTGTGAGGATGGAAGCAAATGGTAGGGGCATGGGGAAACTCTGAGCACTAGCCATGGGACCAGGAAATTAAGGGAGGAAGAGAGGAGAAAGAATGGGAGGCTCAGCCCAGAATAATGAGGATATAACATCTCTAAGGGAGTCTGTTTCCCTGGGTTCGCACTGTCTCCTGGCCTTCTCAGGGTTGATGCTAACAGGGTCACATTCATTTTATAAAGAGAGAAATGAATGGCTCGGTTTGCATTACTGTATTTCAAGAAGCAAAATACCAGTCTGCTTAGAATGAGGTGTAAAATCGCACAGGCGTGTATGGCCAGGGTGTGTGTTTATGTGCACGTGTGTACAAACACACAGATTACTTTGAAGAAGCACAATGTGTTTGTGGTAGTCTGAAGGTTAATCCAGATTGGGACTTGATTTCCATGTTCGCTCTAGAGAACTGATGCTATCTTTGTAGTTATAACGAAAATACCAAATGTGTTGGAACAATGAGAATTGCAGTCAAATACAGAAAACTCTGTGAGTTATGCTAGGTCTGCTCTCTCGGGTATTAATGGGAGAGAATCTTGCAGTTGATAAGGATCCATAAAGATTTTTTTTTTTTTAAGCAAGTAATAATTCTTTGGAAATTAAGGCTAATTAGAAGCAATACTGTCCCTATAAATGCATTCGGTTACTTTGTCAAGACAGTTTTATATTTGTTTCCTATGATGTTCCCATATGCATCCTAATCAGTGTTTTGCTGTAATTGTGATTAGAGACCACAGCAGAGAGACAGACTCCTTAAGAACTGAAGGGAAGTAACAAGCAGTTGGGTGGTAATAGACTTGAGTGTCTTCTGGATATTTACAATGGATTAGGCTTTTTTATTTTAGGGTCATTGCAGCTTTAACCTATACGCAGTGGTTTATGGCTAATGCCAGCATTGCTTCTGGGTGCAAAGCACGTGTGAGAAATGTTTGCATGCTTGATGGACTTAAAAGGGAAGACAGGAACTTAAAAAGATCTCTTTCCTCCCCTACTTATCCTCAGTAATTGGCCCCAACTTCCTCCTAAGTCTTTCCCGGGTAGTGAAAAATGAAATGTGTGTTGGAACCCAGCTTTTTGCCCCTTCAGCTGTTGGCACATCTGTTAGTCTGCTGAGGATGAGATGCAAGTTACCATATGGCTGAAATGTTAGCGACTGAAATTCTGATGACTGCTCCCATAAAGCCAAACTATTTCAGCAGCATGTCTCTTACCAATTGATATGCACAGAACCTCGGGTTTGATATTTTAGCTCTTCCTGTCTTTCTCAGGGCACAAAACAAAGAAAAATTAGCTCTCTTGTTTACCCAGAATCTTTTTTTTTTTTTTTTTTTCTGAGTGCACATGCCCGTGCATCTCTGTGTGTCTGTGTCTAACAATGGATGACCCTTGGTGCCAGGCTGTCACTACTACTGCATGTGTCAGTCGCTCCAGGACTGTAGCTGTTCCCATCGTTTTATCCAAGCTACGGCTAACGCTGTGCTACAGACAGCAGTCGGGAGGAATAGCTTTTGGGAACAGCACAGTGTTCAAAATGCCTTTTTGGCCTTTCCTCTTGGTGCAAAACTTTAAACTTTGTGACAGTGCACAGAGTAGTTTTTTAAGTGTGTGCTGACAGTGTATGTGTTTGCAGGGCTGCCTTTGAGTGTGAAGAGTGAGCGAGAATAGTTTGTGCCATGTCTGGATGCAGACTAGTTTTGGCTAAGGCAAGGAAGATGTATGACACACAAAATCCTTTTCTCCTGCTGAACAAAATAGCTATTTTTAACTATTTGCCGAAGAGTTTGATGAACAATTTTTAGACATCGAAATTACTTGTAAACTGTTTGCTCTGACATTTCTGCATTTGCCACTTGTGGTGTGTTATGGTTCACAATTACTTGGTTTTGCTCAGTGACTGAGTTATTGAATTTGAGAAAAAGAGCTATAGAAATCTATAGTGGGAGATAGAATGAACGAGGAGTGTGAACACCTGAAGAGTTGTGCTTCCCAGCTCTGCTTTACAGAGATGTTTTCTCTCTGTTTTATGAGTGAAGAACCTGAGTTTGGAGTCACCAGGTGGATTGCTGCAGTCACATAGTGAAGCAAAATAGGCAGAAATAGAAGTTGGAATGCCTGACTCCACATGTAGAAAAGTTCGAGTTTGGAAGTCTGACAAACAAATAAAACTTAGTGCTAACTAGTTGCAGCAGGCAGCTTCTCTTGTCCACAAGCATGCTGCATTTGCTATGAAGCAACGCAAGGGAAGGAGCAGAAAAGTTGCTTTTCTTCCAAGGAACTCAAATCACCGTGAGAAGATCCAAATGTGTAAATGCCTGTTTACATATTTGTTAACATTCCCTTTGTTTTGTTTTTGTTATTCTTTTCTTATATCTTATCTAAGTTTTTAAAACACCCTTTTGCAGTGTAGTCATGGGAGCAAGTTTACTTGAACAAATCTCTTTTTCTAGGAATGTAAGATTTAAAAGAAAAGAAAACCAAACCCAAACCGGAGAAGCCTTCACGTGGTCCCGACCCAGCATTTATTCATAACAATGGAGGCGCAAGCAAGGAGTGAGTGAGGAGTGAGTACAAAGATGCTCATTTGTGTTTGTCTCTGCGAGTTCACTGGGGACTGTGCTTATGCCTGTGACTGTGGGTATGTCTTTGGGTATGTTTTGTTCAAATTACAGTGCACCTGTAGAAGAGACCCTGGAAGAGTTCTGGTCACAGTGATGCTGAGGTTATGACTGCCTTCCTGTACAGGCATTGAGCTAGACAGTCCATGAAACAATTGCAGAGAAAGCACAGTGGCACAAATTCAGTGAGAATTCCCTACAGAAACGTAGGTCCCTGTTGATGGAGCTCCTGTGTGATGTCTTCTCAGAGTACCAGTGTTCATTTACTAACACTTGGCTATGGCAGATGCAGTTATAACTGAAACAGCATTATAGACACAGCCCTGCCTAGGGCCCATCTATACATAAAGTTTCACATTGCTCTAACAATAACTGTTCAGAAACATTCCTAGTGGAGTTTGCAGAGCTCTAGTGGGGTGCAGTTATAGTAGTGGAGAGGTGATGTACACCAGTCCCATCATCACTAAGGCATAGACTACGCGACATCAATTTCTAGAAAGGAGGAGAATTAGAACAATACAAAACCTGTCTGCAGAGGTGCCGGGTGATTTAAAGACTTTAGAACATAATAGCTGTAATGAATGTGTTCGAAAACTGTAAGCCACCTCAGGTAGTGTGTACTTCAGCACCTTCTAAATTGGTCGAGGCAGGTTCTACCTAGTCTTTAATTTGATCTTTCTAGTGTGTATTAAAAGCAGTCACACCTTGATTACACTAGACTCTTCTGACACATCTAAAGGATTAGCTAACAAGGTTCATCTGCCTAACCTAAAAAAAGTGCTCTGTTTGTGCACATGTGTTTGTATACACTTGTGAATTGAGAGAGAGCGAGATGGCTTATTCTTTTATGGCACTCTTTGACATTGGGATGGAACACCTAATGTTATCTTCTTTCCAGTGGTCACCGATTTTTTTATCATTTTAAGCCAGCAATAGATTCCAGCTATACTCAGATTCTTGGAACTTTTGTTATTTGTATCTTTTAGTTACTATGATTGGAGGAGGGAAGGCGGGCAGGAAGTTGGGGAAATGGAATAGCAAAAACTGATATACAAGTGTTGGGACACAGCCAAGCTTTAGATTAATACAACGTGAGCATCATTTCACCATCTTCTGATACAGTGAGTTCTTCTTAGCAGTGAAGCAGAGTAGCACAAAAGCTTTAGGAAAAAGAGAGAAGTTGGTGGAGGCTTTCTTCTGCATTACAACCCTGATATCTCAAGTCTTTCACAACAGCTATAAATTAGCAATAAATAACCTCTGAGGAGAAAGGACTAGACAAGGGAGAAAGATGCATTTTTAATTGCAATATGCACAAAGATTATGGTTAATGCAGAGAGAAGCACAGGGAAACTGTCCAGCGACTGGAACTGCAAAAAAGGCAGCTCTTGTCTTAGAAGTAAAGGGTCAGAGAGGATAGTTTGACACTTAAGGCCTTATTCCATTGGTGATTTCTGTAAGTGCTCTTTTTACATCACGGAGGCATCACTTGAGTGTAGCTAAGCTTGTTGTTTTCCAAAACCTTTGCAGAGAAGAGCAATTTCGAGCTACGTTATGAGGGACTAGAACACTGAAACGTGAAGTCAGTAAAAATTTGCCATTGGTTTTAATGGAAATAGGCTTGTGCCCTTTGAATTTAAACTTCTTGTTGCAGGGACCTCAAGGCCGATTTTGATTTACGTCACCACAACATGCTTGAAGTTCAACCAGTAAGGAAGGGAGATGAATCAGTCCTTCTATCATTTGATAGGTTTTGCAGTGCCGTATCCTCGGACACACATCACAAAGGAAAATGGTCACTCAGTGCACAGGCGGCCTCCCAGTGCTGTCGCGGGGTGATTCTTGCTGTGCAGCCTGTGTAGCAGCATACAAAGGTCTCTAGGCTATAGGCCAGATGACTGTTTACAGCACAGCACAGCCACTATACCAAGTCAGAGAGAGAACAGAAAATGTGTTCCCTGCCTGGGAAGTTATTCATTATTTAGAAGAACAGAACAGCTAGTTTAAAATTAGAGTCTTTGCCTCCCAGATAAAACTTCCTTCACTTCTCCCCAACAGACATTTAATTCCTCTAGTTTTTTTGAGTACTGATCTACTTAGCCTGGTCACATAGCTACACTTGTAGGGAAGGTGATTTGGAAGAGGTGTTTTGTGAAAATAGTTTGATGAGAAGAAGAGAGTTTCTTAAACCACCCTTGACTGTCCCAGGCTGTTCTCTCGGAAGCACACAAAATGCCTGCATTGGACAGGGATGTATGCCATTTACAGCTCTGGTTTGTTGTGTGGGCTCATGCTACCATGAGACTAATTTCAAGAAAGACAGAAAAAACTCTGAGGAGAAAAAACTCCAGTAGTTCCATGGTGCTCCTTTTTCACTCCAATAAATTGGTGTAAAAGGCAGTGTTCTGTATCAGTGAGATTAAAAAGGGTATGGCCCACCAGTTCCTGGGAAAATATTTTTTTTTCAGAGGCAAAGCCCTTTCCAGCATCCTCCTTCCCAACCCTGCTCCCCTGAATACCCACCTGTGCCCTCCCTGCTGTTGCTCTTGCTGCTGGGCTGTCAAAATATCTCTCATAATGAAGCAGTCTGGCCTGAGGCTACTATTACCTCCAATACTGATCCCGCTGAGCATGACTCTGGCAGCATGGCTGGCTGCTCACATGCAGCGAGCAGAGAGCTGGGCTACACCTGGCCAGGAATAAAAGACAAAAAGCAGTGAATCCTGGCTGCTAGACTGATGTCCTCTGAGACTGTGAAGGACCCTGGGGACGGTGTGAATCTGGCTGGCTCGGGAGGTGGTGGTGTGGCTCTTTGGTCTCCTTCCCTGTCTTTGGGTAGGCTCAGCGATTTGGTAGCGACAGAGTTGTTGCTTTCCATCACTGGTGTGACAGTGTCAGGGTAATTCTGTGGAAAGATAGAGAAGCGGGGAGAGGAGCTGTTAACTTGCAGTCTTAAAAGGCTAAGCACCCCAGCATCTTTGGGGGAAACAATGTGGTTCAGTGGATACTACATCATTTAGTATCTAAGCTCTTCTGGTGTACAGGACGGAACTTCGCTGGCATAGTTAGTTTTGGACTGTGAGAAACTCATGCTACAGACCTGCTGCGACAAGGTCAGCAAGACCAGTGCTGCAGATGCAGCTGTGCAGACAGAGCGTTGTATCTGCTCGCTTAGTGTAGCTTAGGCAGAGGCATGATGGTGCCAGAGACGGCGCGTATGGCATCTGTCCTGGAATCCTGGAAAGACAGAAGCTCTGGATTAGTGTCTGAACTCAGGCTAGTCATTTTACGTGTACCTGGGTGTCTCTCTCCTCCCAGCCTCAACCTGTCTTTCCTGTAAAGGGGCAGGGCCTGCATCTGCAATGAGTTTTTAAAACACTCAGCACAAAGGACCTTTGATCTCAGTTAGAAACTCAGAGATTTACTGTCACACATGTAAATAACAAATCACATCTAGGAAGTTTCCCTTCCTTTTATGGGTCTAATAATGGAGGCACATCCAGGATAAGTAATTTGTCCATGAAACTGGTGATAGGATAAGGAGGAAGATACTTCTCTCCTAACTTTCAGACCTGTGCTTGAAGCACCATCTCTTCTTGTAAAACGCTTTACAGCACAGCTAGCTCTTTACAGTTGTTAACACATTTGACCTGAGAGAAATAAAAGATCCAGGTTTTGTTTCAATCCAACATGATGTATTCCAGAGGTGGAGAACTAAACGTTGGAAATGATCGCTATTTACTATGTTTCCTGTGGTAACCCCTCTGTGAGCAAATTCAGAATCATGCTTTCACTTTGCTAGGTGCTGTGGAAACACACAACAAAAAGACATGGTCATTTGTGCCCCCAGACTTGAAAATGTGTTCCAGTTCCTCAGTGTGGAATTTGCAAAGCGTACTCGGTTCTCTCTCCAACCATATGTGTGTGGATTTGCTTGGATCTCTCTGATCTGCTCTCCAGTGGTGAATCTGTTCACACTAATCCTGAAAGCTCTACTGTTACGAGACCGGATCGGAACAACTTGAGACTCCTGCTGTCCGACTCAAGACATCCAGACAGAGCTCTTGTGCTTTATTACAGTGGAGAGGGGTAGGGAGGACTTGTTAGTAACTTTAGCCTCTTGATTCCCCCCAAACTTCACCAAGTTCTGCCAGAACATCTTACGGGTGTGCAAGAAGCCCTGCCTGGTCCAAGCCATGCACCTCGTATTGAGCCCCTGTCACACGGCCTTCCTCCTCCAGTGCTGGACCTCTACACAGCTTGGCCAGTACATCTACGTCATGACTGGCAGCAAGTGCCTGTTTTTTCCAGGAATAAAACAGCCAAGTAGGTGCTGCCCTTTGAGAATGAAGTCGCAGCATATTCACCTCACTTATGACTAGGTCCAGGTTTAAGCCTGGTTTCCTTAGAGGTAAAAAGCAATGGGGCTGAGATGCAGTGGGAAAACCCCATGGGAAGTCACCTTGAAAATAGAAGGTAAATAAGAATTCCCTGTGTTAGGAAAGGCTTCGTTACTGCTGTTTAATAGGGGCAGACTGGATGGTAAGGCCAAGTGCTGTTAGATTTGAGTGTGCATCCAAACCACAGAGATCTGAGAAGTCTAGAAGTACTGCAGAAGGGTTTGTTCCTGGAGGATGAAGGCCATCCTTCTTCTGCTCTCCTGTGACCCCTCCTGGAGACTTGTCTTTGAAGAGGGCTGTGGCCGAGCTCTCCCTACACTTGGAGGTGAAGTTGCCATTAAGATTGGAGATGGAAGAAGAACAGTAACCCTTACGGCTGTAAAAAAGAAAGAGGGCTTTGAGAAAAAATACCCACTCCCCTGTGAAAAGTGAGGTCAGTCCCAGGAAGCCAAGTTCCAAAGAAGATGGAGTCAAAGGAAGTCTGAAGTAGTTCTCAAGCCTCTGCAGAGGGCTCAGTGCAGTTCTAGGTATGCCAGGCACGAAGGTTTTCTGGGAGCGTTAAGAGCGAGCAGTTCTTCTCCCTGCGTGGCCTTCTCACCTGACCTCCATCCAGAATCCTCTTATATGCTTTCACAGAGGATGCCTGTGTCTCCCAGAACCTCTTCCAAGCATTTTCCTTGGTTCATTAGGTGATAATAGAAAGTGATTTTTCCTCTGTCATCTTGAGCAATCAGAAGCATTAAGAATAAGAGCCTAAGCTTGAAAGCCTAAATGAGAGGGTTTGATGGGTATGTATATCTGCCTCCTTCATTAGAGGAAGAAGCAAGGATGGCTCCCAGAGCTTGCATTTCTTGAGAATAAATAGGCAAGAAACAAGGATCGTGGTCAAGTAGTGTCAAGAGAAAACTGAGGTTTGGGGCTTAAGTCCCATTCCCAGATCAGCTGAACCCAGGGAGGGGGTTTCCTCCACCTTTACGGGTACAAAGCAATGGCTTGTCCCACAAGAGGTCCATCAGACCTTTTGTAGAGAGGGGTAGCTGTCAGCTGAGAGCTAAGGGGAGCAGAAAATAACACCCATAAGATCTTGGGCCAATCCCTTGGTGCACGAATGTGAACTCATCGCCTGTTTTAGCCTGTGTTCTCTCACAGTGGGACAGAGGAGCTGCATAACCCCAGTGGGAGCACAGCGCTCACCTTCCCCACCTCGGCCTCTTTACGCTTCTGCTTCCCCAGCAGCAAAATGAAGCTTAAAGCAGCTTTCCCATAAAGATGCTAGGAGGTGGTGGTCGTTCTCCTTGTCTGGGAATGCTCCAAGATCTTGAAAGCTGTTGCTGGAGCGGCAGGGGCTAATCCTGCTCAGAAACTACCCCACGGACTCTGCAATGGCTGATTGTCGCAACAGCAAATCCGTTTCTTGCTGTCTGGAGGGCAAGTTCCGCCTGCCACCGCCTCCCCCTGTAAGAAAGCAAGTAATAAGAGACACACCTTGGGACGAAGCAAAGAACTTTGTGTTGTTTTGGGAGCTCTGAGACAGACCTCATACACAACTCTCCGTGTTCTGCCACCTTGTAAGACTTGTGGGGCATATTTCTTCTACTGTGTTTAAGGGGATGATTTATTTTTATTTCCCTTCTAGGTAGGATTCTTCCTGCACAGTCACTCCTGCTTAGCATCCAAGGGTAGGGAACTCCATCTTGTTGATGTGACAAATCTCTGTAACAACCACGCCACTTAATTTTGGGCTGTGTTGTCCTCTCGGGGCAGTTTCACATGGACCTTGTGCCACAGCTCATCCCAGAAAAAAAAAAAAACAAACAACAAATTTATACTGTGTGTGCCTTCTCAAGGTAGAGCTGGTGACTAGAGGAGCCTGCTAAGGAGAGCAAGGTGCACGGGAGAGCCCCCAGGAGCCGGGGGGCTGGCCCCGCCGTCCGTCGCTCACCCCCTCTCCCCGCCGCCGGCGCGGCGCTTGCAAGCGCCTCTGCTGTTTAAATGGGCCAAGTTAGAGAAGCGGCGGCGGCGGAGGGAAATCTTGTTTGGTCAGAGTCTCTGAACTATACCGTGACTTCTGAGCACGGATCAATATCTGTCTGTCCCGGCTCGGAGGGGAGCCCGGCCCAGTAGCCCAGCACAGCGAGGCGTTTAGGGGCTGGGGGGTGCAGGAGCGCCGGGCACGGGCTGGCGCTGGGGATGCGGGTGCGTCTCTGGGCGCCCGGCTCTACAGAGCTCTGTGTGTGTGTACGGAGATGTGTGGAACGTAATACCACGGGTTTGAAAATTCTGTGCGGGAGTGGCAATTAAATACCAACTCGCAGGGATCATAAAAGCCTTCGGTGGGAGCGGGGCGAGTCTGCACTTTGCAGGTGAAGGCGGGCGGCCCCCGGGAAACTTCTCCGCCCGCCCGGGGAGGCTGGAGCCC